GCTTCGAGATATTCCCTCGCATCGACGTCCGCCGCCACTCCGCCCCTTGGGCGCGCTCTCTCATTTCCTGGCGCGCTGTTAATATTTCGGTACGCGCGCCTCTCTGCACGCCCCCCCCCACGATCGCCTCCATCCGCCAGCCCGCAGCAAAACTTCACCCCCAAGTCCGGCGCGGAGCGGACCATCGACCTTCCCCGCGGCCAATGCTGCTTAAGGGTTAGGATTATATATACATATATATATGTATGTGTCAAAAAAAAAAAAAAAAAACGTGTATGCGTATGGTGGTTTTTGGGCACGTACGCGTACGCGCGCATACGTACGCGTATGCACCGCATACGCGTACGTGGTGCTACCCAGGTTATCTCATACATGAACAAATTTTATTTTTTAATTTTAAACCAACGTTGGCTAGGAATTTAAAGACGTTCCCCTGGCAAAAGTTGTTTTAATTCTTCTTTTACACAACAGATATTTTTTGAGATGAGTTTTACAGTTAACTTAAGAATGGAGTTATATTAATTTATAGTTCTTTAAACTCGATTTCGCAGAATCTAGTGTTTTGAAGTATTTTTTTATTTTTTAATTTTAAATCATCGTTGGCTAGGAATTTGAAGATGTCTCCCGCGCAAAAGTTGTTTTAATTCTTCCTTTACATAACATATATTTTTTCACAAGGGTTTTACAGTTAACTTAAAAATGGAGTTATACTAATTTATAGCTCTACAAAACTCGATTTCGCAGAATCTGGTTTTTACCAAACTGTTAAAAACGGTTTATAGTTCTATAGATGAGTATTCACTAAAACTGTTTTTTTTAACATCTTTCGGGTTTGCCTTATAGTCGTTAAAGATTGTCTTGTTTGAGCTATGCTTTTTGTCAATCTACTGAGAATGACTTATAGTCCTATAGTATGCTCTTTGCTGAAAAGAATTTTCTTGCACATTTTGAGAATCGCTAGACTTTTTGCCTGTTTTTTTGCCTTCTTTCTTGTGAAACAGTTAAAAACGCTCTCTTTTATGTGTCAAAAATAACAGTTTGACTTGAACTTTTTCATTCTATAAAAAATGTTAGGTTTTGTGGTTTTGTCAGGTTTTCACGAATTCGGTTTTCGCAACCGTTCACGAGCTTCGCGTGTGTGCCCTCCGCTCAACACAAAAACATCGGCGAGACACTCTTTTTAAAGAAGCAACAATTGTGGAGATTTATTTCAAAGTGATTCAGGTAATTTTCCAAAGATTTGTCCCTTAGGCGTTTTTAAGACCCCGGTTTCAAAGTAGTCATTTCTAGTACTTTTTGGCTCGTTCTTGCGGGTTAGAAATGATGTCACCATTCGCCTTTTTCTCTCGTCTTTATGCTTCACAGTTTATAGAACTCTAAACGGAATGAAGAATTCGGAAGCTGAGATGGTTTTTTGCGTTCCAATTTATAGAACTATAAATACGCAAATGTCAAGATGTCTGGCTTTGGTACAGGGGCGCACATTTTCGGAGTGCTTCATGTTTTCTTTTTTCTCTCATGTTTGTGCATCACGGTTTATAGAACTATAAACAGAATGGAGAATTCCAATGCTGACAT